TAGTTGAAGAAGTTCATATGGAGCAACCACCTGAGTTTGTTGCTCAGGGGGAGTATCGCCACACTGTTTGTCGCCTTAAAAAGGCCTGTATGGATTGAAACAATCTCCACGGGCTTGGTTTGGAAAATTGTTCGAGGCGGCATTAGAATTTGGTCTTAACAGATGCCAGACCAATCATTCAGTATTTCACCAGCGCACTAAAGCTGGCTTCATTTTTCTTATGGTGTATGTAGATGATATTGTGATCACAGGTGATGATTCTGAAGGCATTGCTAAGTTGAAGTTGTTTATGCAAAATCGATTCCACACTAAAGACTTAGGTAAACTTGGGTATTTCTTGGGTATGGAAATTGCTAGATCCAAGAAGGGTATAAGTTTATCTCAACGAAAATATATGTTGGACTTATTAGAAGAAACAGCTATGTTTGGTGGTCATCCAATTGATGCTCCTATTGATTCAAATACAAAACTTGTGTCTAATGAGGGTAATCTATTTAATGACCCGGGCATATTTCGTCGCCTTATTGGGAAATTATCTCACTATCACTCAACTTGATATTTCATATACAGGTAGTGTTGTAAGTCAATTCATGGGAGCTTCTAGAATGCCACATTGGATTGATGTTCTTCGGATTATTCGATATCTCAAGCAAGCTCCAGGTTTTGGGTTACTATATAAATCAAATGGTCATCTCAGGGTGGAAGGTTTTACAGATGCTGACCGGGCTAGTTCTCCTTCAGATAGGAGATCTACTACATCTACTACAGGCTACTGCACATTTGTAAGAGGAAATCTTGTTACATAGAGAAGTAAAAAGCAAATGGTGGTAACTCGATCTAGTGCTGCAGCTGAGTACAAGGCAATGGCCCATGCCACTAGTGAGTTAACATGGATACAACATTTTCTAAAAGAACTTGGGTTGACAGTTGAAGCTCCTATTCTATTGTTTTGTGATAATCAAGAAGTTGTTCACATTGCATCAAATCCTATGTTTCATGAGAGGACCAAACATATTGAAATTGATTGTCACTTCATTCGGGAAAAAATATTAAGTGGGAGCATCTCTACTCCATTTGTGAAGTCTGAAGATCAATTAGCTGATATGTTTACCAAAGCATTGGGTTAAAACCGGTTAAGGACTATTTGTTCCAAGTTGGGATTATTTGATATATATTCTCTAGCTTAAGAGAGAGTGGTAAAATGTTTATATATATATATATACACACACACACTTATGTTGGGTCATTATGTAATTACATATAGTTGGTATGGTTGTTATGTAATTAGCTTAGTATTGTATCTTTATATAAGCCTTTGTAGGCTTAGGGTTTGATAAATGAAATACACAATGTCTGTAGCCTCCATGATCTCTCTCTCTCTCTCTCATCAGTATAAACAATAACAAAGTGCGGCAACAAATTAAGGATAGCAATCACGGGTATAAAGAACATCTCAACAAGGGTAGAAGAAGTGTGATCTTTGATGTGGAGATTATGTATGGGCTATTTTGACCAAAGATCGATATCCGGCTGGTGAGTACAAGAAGCTGAGTGTAAGAAGATTGGACCGTGTGAAGTACTTGAAAGGATTAATGACAATGCATACGAGTTGAAGCTTCCTAGCCACATCAAGACATCCGATGTGTTCAATGTTCATCATTTGATTCCTTGTCAAGGTGACTCTTTGAGCGAGGATGATGCTAACTCGAGGTCGAGTTTTCTCTCACCTGGAGAGATTGATGCAGAGCAAGTGGAAGAAGACTATTTTCAAATAGTTGAACACTCTAAGAAGACGCGGCCGAGTTTCCATAAATAGACTGAGTTTTCATAAAAAGGGCAGATGATGAGTCTGATTATGTGATTGTTTTTAGTCTGGAGTCATTTATAAGTCTTTAATCTTGTTTTATTTCATGTTTAGGATATTATTGTCATTTGGTTTTAGTTTATAAGTCATGTGCCTTTTAACTGAGTCATATGACTATTTAAGGTCTGTTTTGTAATTTTTAGCTCTTTATTCTGCTGGAGAGAATACTAGCCTTTAGATTAAATTTATTTGAAGGGCTAGGATTATATCTTTGCTAGGGCATCCCTCGTCGCTTATAAAAGGGTTGTTCCAAGTTGTAATGAGCAACCTTTTACGTATTATCAATAATATCAGCTTGCTACAACAACATTTTATCTTCCCTTTCCTTGGGATTGAGTTATGGGTGTTTAAGTTATTCGTTAGCTTAATCTTGCTCTTTGTTTTCCCTTCTTAGTGATTTATTTCTCTTTCATAAGCTGATTGCATTAGGCGCTATCCATAACATATTCAAAACCAGATGATAGAATGGATGAAGGGGGAATCATCAGCTAGGAGAGTGATTATCGATGACTTCGGAGGAGGAACATGAATTAAGCTAGGTGACGCCGTGGGGATGGATTCAGGATCTACGATATCTATATGCTCTACGTTAGTCTCCACACTCATGGTTAACAAAGTAAAACAAGGGAACATACTAGATTGGAAACTGACCTGTAGAAGTTGCGAGAACAAGGATGAAGCACAGTATGGATGTTGACGAAGTCAAAACCCAAACTCAGCAAAGAGATACTGAGAGAAGAGAGCCCCAACAGCCGCGAACACAAACCGTCCACTACACTTCAAATTTTGTATTTTCTAATTCCCTTCAAAATAGGGACCGTTACCTAATATAGGAGAGAATTGGGGGCAAAGTGTGGAGGGAAAAATCTCCCCTCCAATAGGCGTTCGCCATGTCAGAATGTAGGGGCCACAAGCAAGAATTCATGATGGCTGGTTGATGAATCGCCAGGTTGAGGCCCAATGCCGAGGCCCAGAAGGCTTGCAATTTAGGACCAACCCATCAGCGGCTCATTGAATCTTAATGCATACACCGGTCCATCCATAAGCGAAGGTCTGACCCATAAGAACACCGAATCCCGTGTGGAAAAGGAATTATAGTTACTATAATTTTTTTATGTAAACTTGTATTATAAGGAAGCAAACTATATAGTAAAATCTTGTGGGACAAGTAATGCGAGTCCTAGTCCAATTCAACCTTTGTAAATTATTATAAATAGAGACATATACTTATATAAGCAATTCTCTGCTAATATTGTCTTCTTATTTGTTTTATTCTTCATCGTATTGCAAGGTTCTTTGACTTTTCCAAGTTAGACAAATTTTTGCACGTGCATCACCCCAACTCAAGAAATCAGCAAAAGAGTTACAATTCCAACTCCAATCAAACACATCACCCAACCAATCCCGAACAGCCCTGGCAAACTAACATTCAAAGAACATGTGATCCCTGTTGTCATCCCCTTGCATACAGTTGTAACAAATAGTTGTATATTTTCATATATTCTGTCACATATGTTTAGGCTTAATTATAGACTATGTTAGATAGCTCCCTATGATTTAGGCTTGATATTAGCTTTTATATTTGCATATATTCTGTTACATATGTTTAAGCTTAATTATATGCTTAGCTTACATTTAGGCTTCCTTTTATGTAACACATATAAATAACCCTATTGGGATGAATGTAACAGTAGAAATACAATATAGAAGGAAAATGAGAGAATTGTGTAAAGGCTTGAATGAGATAATCACTCATACACAACTCTAGTATTTATAGGTAAAAAAGAGCATATGCTCATATTACAAGAAAGGAAATAAAATCAAATCTAAATCAAACAAAGGAAATCAAATCAAATCTAAATCAAATCACAGAATATTCTATGGCATATTCTATAGCATAATCAGATCTATGCTAATACTGTAAGTCATTTCATAAATCATGGCTATCATATTTGCTAACAATAACTATGTTGAAATTATCCAATTCTTTTAACTCTCACATCGCATCAGAGGGTCTCACAACCCTATAGTCTCTTATGCTTCTTCTTCTTCTTTCTTACATTTTTTGAGGAGGCTCTGCTGCCTCCGCCGTGAGACCCCTCCAGCGTGTCCTTTGTATTGAGGCGCCCCTTGTTCGACCACTGTCCGGCTTCACTGTTATTGCACCATGTCTTCCTCTTCTAATACCTTGGATTCTACAGACTCTGCGACATCTACACCCATAACCTGTACAGTGTTGTTTTCCTTGTTCTCAATTCCCTAACATCACCAATTTGGTGACTATGAAGTTGGCTAACTTGAACTATCTCTTTGGTGCTCTCAGGTCAAGCCCCTTCTGGTTGGCCAGATTTTTTGGCATTTTGTTGATGGCTCTTATCCTATGCCGTCAGAATTCCTCCCGGCGACTGTTTGCCAACCCAGAGTACCAAGATGTCTGGACCTGCCCCGAGTGACTCTTCTCTCAGCAATCTGTTGCTTATGCCTCTACACTTCGATTCCGTCTCCTGTCTCTCAACAAGGAGAACCTCTCCATGTCTCACTATGTATTATATGCCAAGTCTTTGGCTGATTCATTGGCTTCTATTGGTCAGCCCGTATCCAACAATGATTTAGTTACTCATGTTCTCCGTGTTATGAGATGATAATGACAGCTACACTACATATGAGATGATCATCACCTCCAAAGGCAAGAATAAGCCTCAAAAAGAGACTACAACACAAATTTTCTCATTTAAAAAATAAAGAAACTAACAGAAAAAAAATATGAGATGGAATATAAATTGATTTTTATGAATATCAAACTCTGGTCAACTATCCTAACTATTCATTCTAGGTCATGGTGTGTCACAACTTGTCAAACTAAGTTGAATTATTTGCTGAAAGCAACTAGCAGTAATTCTTTTCCGGTTCTTTAAATTTATTTTATTTGATCCAAGTAATATTTAATTTCATGTTTTAGAGGTGTCTATAAATTCAAAAGTCAAGTACAAATAACTCAGTATAGGTTTCAATGAAGCGCACACAAAGAGATGTCTTCTTGTTAAGTTGTAAAGGGATAGTATGTACAGCATTTCAAAAGTGAAACACCATGAGGTATCTCTGTGTATTGCATAGGCACAAAACTGGGCTGACTAACCTCTTTTATTTCATGCCACATGTCTTTTGCAGTGAAACCAGGGGAGTTTCCAGATATCACAAAGCAAGGGCACTCTGAGACATGAACAACATCTGTCTCTTCTGCTGCAATCGCAAAAGTAATTGGGGGTAGTTCATTGGAAGTCCTGTATTAATATATATTGGCTGTTAGGCAGAAACCAAAATTGATGTAATTAATAATTGAATGTATCAAAACAAACGTGGATAATTCTTCAAATATAGAGAAGAGGAACTTGCATGTGATGCAGGAGCACACCATGAATGCCATCCTCCATCCTAGCAAAATAAACATTAAAGGAGTTTAGTATTAGATACATAACTCTACAGAAAGAGAAGAGCGCAAGAATTATATATTTATAGAACCTCAACATTAATAAAGCCTTGGTAACAAGTATTCCAATTATTTAGTGCCAGCTAATCAATACTCTATAAGTCAAATTAAAGTATTCGTGAATAGATAAACCCAATGTCTGTTTTTACCTGATCTTTGAATTGCGGTGACGACCAGACAATCCAGAAACCCCACCAACAGAATTCTGAATTCACATTAAACAAGAATATTTGTCATCAGACACAATGGTTTATCACCTGCCATATTCTTTCAGAAGTCTATGCAAGGATGAACCACAAAAAGAAATTATGACAAAAAGATTACAAGTCCGTGACACTAAGCTCCCTTGTATATCGGGCTATAAGAGACTAATTAGGGTCCATGACCTACACAAAGCTCATCCAACAGGTCGATGCGACCCCGGCACCAAATTCGGGCCACAACATCACACAAGAGAAGATAGAAAGAGAACTTACTGCCCATGTGAAGAGCAAGGTGACATCTGCTGAAGTCTTTCCAGTGTTAAACAGCTGCAGAAAATTGAAACCAACTTTTTAATATCAAACTGAATGAAAATCTATCAACATTCCAACAAATAAATTTCTGAGAAATTCTTCCCTACCGTAAAAGTAAATACTGTTACAGGGAAGCTGCTCTCCTTATAGTTATGGGGAATAAAAGGGGAAATTTGACGACAAACTATTTGAAGTTCTGGATCAGGTTCTCCTGCATGCAAAAGAGAAAAGAAAGGTACATCTTTACGATAAATTTTCCATGAAGGTCACTGCAGTAAGAAATATTTCAGTTGAACATAAAATTACCCTCATATACAGTCCAAGCCCTTGGGAACAATGCATGATATGTGGAATTACACCCATTCAGATTCCAGTCCCAAGATCCAATCCCCGAAGTTGAACTCTCTCTGCTTATCCACATTCTTTTCAGTGAGATCTTTATTTACTTGGTACATAAAAATTTCTAAAAGTAAACAAAATTAATGCTAATTTTTTTTTTTTTCAGAATCCATTCATTTTAGCAACTAAAAACACGAGTGGCATTCAGGAAACACACACACACACACAAAGTAGTGTATATACAACATGCCATTTCAAAAAAGAGATTAAAGTATGAGGCAATATAATAGCTGCTTACTTTAACACTTCTGGGCTCCCCGGGCATAGCACAGTAGAATACTTTTCACCAGTTGGCCGAGAAACAAAAACCTGCATAAGAGACTCATAGTTCAAATTAAGAAATTCAGATAATTAGGCAAGGACTAAGTTGCAGTAATAACTTAACAGGTATATTAGCTTTCTGCTGTTATTATGAATATGTAAGAATATTCCCTTTTACTAACACATTTATTTATTTTTGGCAGGTCTACTACGGACACATATGAGGATATAAAATCTAAAGTTCACAATGGAAATTTGGAACCTTTTTTTTTTTTTTTTGTTTAATTTTTTGAAAATTTAAAAATTCATTAAAGGCACTCAAAAGGGAGCAATCCCAAAAGAATACACAAGCCGCGTCACTATAACTTTAAACTATCCAAAAAATCCAAAAGACTATCCGTAGATTTACAATTCCACCGGTTCACCCAAAAGAATAAAGAAGTATATTGTATTTAAAAGTGTTGTAAAGCATAAAACAGAAGCGAAGAGATAAATAAATAAATAAAAGTAGAACACACATATATTACACGGTTCAACCACTATGGCCTACATCAATGGCACAAAGAGCCCAAAAGGCTACATCACTTTTGTAATACTCTCCCAATTCATATACAATGCAATGGTGGAAGCTCCTTTATATAGGAGAAGAAATTATGAGAATGGAAAGAATTAGAAAATAGGAAATAAGGAGGATTTTTATCCACTGATTCCTCCATTAAATCTTCAATAAAAAGACCAAAAATGAGACTCCTCCCCATAAAAGGATCTCCTATTTCTCTCATACCACAACCCCCATCATAAACATAGAGAAGTGGCCTTCCAAGCATCTCGCACTCGGCTCTCCACTACTTTCCAAGCCTCGAGCAAATCAACCGTTGACTCAGGAAATACCCAAGCCAATCCAAAAGCAACCAAGAACATATCCCAAATATCCCTTGCCACAGGGCAGTGCTCCCCCGACTTCTTTCACATGCAACACCAGCTCACCACAACCTGACGTCTCCTTCTGAGGTTATCACAAGTGAGGATGCTTCCAAGAGCAGTGGTCCATGCAAAGAAAGCCACCTTCAAAGGGTGTTGTGGGTGGGTTCAAGAGGCATTGGGGCTACCACATTGGGCGAGCTAGGTGCACAATCCCGCATCGCTTGGGTAAGGGAAAGGTGAAGTGCTTATATATAGGTGTGTCACTCCAATTGGTATGAGGCCTTTTGACGTAAAATCCAAAAGCAAAACTGTGCGGACTCAGGCCTAAAGTGGACAAAAAAAACAGTGTGTAGTTTATTGATAATCATAGTCGTGTTACATGGGTCTATCTCATAAAGACCAAGAATGAGGTGTATACTATTTTTAAAGTTTTTGTGAGAATGGTTCAGACTCAGTATGGCCGTACCATAAAAATTTGGGAAAATTACACGGACCTCTCCTATGGTTTGTCATATTTACAAGGGTCTCCCCTATGGTTTGAGAAATTACACGGACCTCCCCTAAAAATGAAACGTTGTTAGATAGACCTCCCTTTTTAAGGGTCAACACGAGTCAACGACAGATTTTGTTGATGTCATGTACTAAATAAATTAAAATTCCCATATTATCCTTGTTTGAAGTATGCTTTTATATATACAATTAACTGAGGCTCACTTGAACTAGCTCACCAGTTTGCCATAAGCTGAAGGTCTAAGCCATTGACGATTTTAAATTAAGGCCTTTGTACATCTGTGCCCTCGCTCGATTAAACGGACTTTCAGTCTGGTAACAATAGAGGCTTCAGCAACCCCGACTAATCTTCAATAACAGCTTGGGCTGACTTCGGTTCTTTAGAGAGGTCACTTGAAGTGGGTAACTTCAGCAATCAAACCAACTGGCGTGAACAGTTCTGGCAACCATGGCTCAAGTGAAAGCTCAGACCAGGAACTTGCATTGAAACCGTCAACGGCTCAGTCCTTCAGCTTACGGCAAACTGGTGAGCTAGTTCAGCTGAGTCTCTGCAGTTTGCATCAACCGAAGTACACCGGACTGGAGTTTGCCGGACTATAGCAGACGGGCCAGACTAAAGTGAAGTACACCGAACTGAAATGAACCTCATTGGTCTGGACTGAAGCTCGCCGGACTGAAGGACTCCAGAACAGTTGGGTTTAAATGCAGCCCGCCAAACCTGTTCACGTAGCTCACCGGAACTGTTTTCGACAGAGCTGTTGGGCCTCTGTAACTCGCTAGAGTTCTTTGCCGGTCTATTAGCTGAAACTCAGACCTTGCTTTCAGTCGTCGCTGGCTGGGTCTATGTGATGGAGAACAATGATGAAGCTTCCTGTTTAGTCTTCATGTGATCAGCAAGCTTTCATCGGAGTTCATGGAGGATGAAGTTTGGCTGGTTCTTGTTTGCTCGAAGCTTTAGTTGGTTTTGGTCGCAGTAGGACTTTCAATTGTTTGTATATTGTTGTACATTATTGTATGAGTTGTCACGTTGTACAGTATTATATGAGTTGTCACACGGGTACCATTAGTATTGTATGAGTTGTCACATGTGTGCATTTAGTATTGTATGAGTTGTCACCTACCCGTCATTCCCATATATAGAATTACCGTGTATAGGGTTTACTTGTTCTCCACTCACCTACTCCCATAGTGTCATATCCTGAATTTTATTAGCTCTTTAATTATTATTATGAGCTTGTTAATATTTGTTTGAGCTTAAATACTTATATTTAATTGCGTTGGAAAACAAAATAAGAAATTGCATTTTTATAAACAATTAATTTCAAGTACGAGAATTGTTCACAAATGCATGGTATGTGGTACCTAGAAGTGTTTGCACATGTTTATTATATTCATGGGTATGGTATCAAATACAAATTTTTGAAGTGGTGGCAGCTAATGGGAAGAAAGAAATATATATATATATATAGTTATAATAAATGAAGAGGGTGTATATATTGAAGTATATGTGTGATGTCATGGGTGTGTTTGTGCTAGAAGTATATGCTGGTGGCCCATTCTTATAGATAAAATTACATTAGTTCAAAGCTTACTCTACAAGCTTTAAAGTTGGTAAGGTAAATTGGTGGGCCTAATTGAGAACCATGCCTATGCACATATATCCTTAAGTATTGCGTGGGTAAAAGCTTAATTAGAAAAGTGTTCTAACTGCTAGTGTACATATATATCCAAGAATACTCACTCAATCACACACACATGGTCAATATTCATGTATAGATATATATTCGTGTGGAGGTTTGCTGTTGGACCGCTGGAATCATCCTACTTATCTATGTGGGTTGATTAAAATAAAATAAAAAGGAAGCCATTATTTTATTTTTTAGGTGTTCACAGCACAAACCATCAGTGCCCATACACTCAACACATCACAAAGTGCCTTTAAGGAGCCGTTTGAACTGAACTAGGAAGGGAGTGTTTAAAGAAAAAAAAAAAAAAAAAAGATACAGAAGGAAGGGGCCAAAAATTCTCTCTCAAATTTCTGCCAGCCAATACTACAGGTAAGGAGACGGAAAGGACCACATCGACAGTACCAAAGGAAAAATAAATAATTTGAAAAGTGGTCAAAGTGAGTGTATTCACTGGGAGTTTTTACACTTGAATGTATTAATTGAAGTATTGAAGATGTGTGTATGAAATGAAGATGCTTATATAACTTGATTATATTGTATAAGGTCCATACTCTGCCTGGAAGGAGAGTAATATATTATATGAGGTCCATTCTCTAGCCTGGAAAAAGAATAATATATTATATAAGGTCCATACTCTGCCTGAAAGGAAAGTACTATACTATATAAGGTCCATACTCTGGCTTAAAAGAAGAGTACTATATTATATAAGGTCCATACTCTGGCCTAGAAGGAGAGTACGATATTTTAATGCCTGCAATATGTTAATGAAGTTTAATTGAAGTTATCAGATAATATTTGTTTATATTACTATGATGTAGTAATGTTGCATTCACTGGGCTTTAAGTTCATTCCTTCAATATTTATATTTTTTCAGATATCAGGTTGGGTTGCTACTGCCAGGTCTAGAGTCCTGGGTGTGTCTGGGGAAAATAACAATGGAACATCTTTTGTATAAAATGTAAATATTGTAGTAAAATTTAATATTGTGACTTGTAATTAATGGTTTAGTTTTCTTAAAACTTGCAAGGTGGATTTATAATTTATTTTTAATTGAAAACTTTTAAGCAGGCACTCTGATATATGATGACGTCATGTATGTATAAGGTTAATGCAGATGGTTAGATACATTCCAATTGTTCAATTTATTTAATAGTGTAAATTGGGTTGGGGTGTGTCACATAGCTTCTCCTATATAAACACCATTGTATTATTGTATTACTCACTCAATAACATATACATTTTCATTTTTTTTTTTTTTCTCTCTCCCTTTCAACATGGTATCAAAGTAGAAATCAACCCCTCTTTAAGTATATTTTTTTTAGTCTTATTCAGACTCTCCGATCTTGAATCCATCTCGGCTTTCAATCAGCAATCTCTTCTCAGCGATCCCTCCTCGGTGATCTCAGTTCTCGTCTCGGCAATCTCTCTCGGATCCTTCCTCGGCTCTTTCCTCGATAATTTCTCTCGGGTTCATCCCAGCTAAATCTTGGTTCTCTTATCTCAGCTCCCGCTCGCTACTATATCTCATTTGTTCGGCAGCTCTTGTGATGGATACGAAGGAATCCCATCTACTTGGGTCAATCACCAGCACCAAACTGAAAGACTCGAACTACCTTAAATGGTCTCAAGCCGTAGAGGTGTTCTTACAGGCTCGAGGAAAACTATCTTATCTTAAATCAACCAAACCCACCAGTGATGAAAAGATTATTGAGGCTCGGGAGAAAGAAGATGCTCAGATTACGACTTGGTTATGGAACAACTTGGAGCCTGAGATCTTCAACATGTCATTCCTAGAATCTACCAACTAGGAAGATCTCAGGGACATGTATTCTTCAGAGAATAATATTTCTCGTATTTATCAAGACATTTTTAATCTCCAGCAGGGAGATCGTTCGGTTGACAAAATTTTTATCTGGACTTAAACCC